TGCAGGGATGCGACGAGGAAGGCCAAGGCCCACCTGGAATTGAAGCTGGCAAGGGATGCCAAAAACAACAAGAAGGGCTTCTTCAACTACATCAGCAGCAAAAGGAAGGCTAGGGACAATGTGGGGCCACTGCTGAATGAGGTGGGTGTCCTGGTGATGGAGGATGCAGAGAAGGCAGAGCTACTGAATGCCTTCTTTGCTTCAGTCTTCAGTGCCAAGGCAGGCCCTCAGGAATCGCAGGCCCCGGAGGTAAGAGAATAAGCTCACAGAGAGGATGACTTTCCCTTGGTCGAGGAGGACTGTGTGAGGGATCGCTTAAGCAATCTGGACGCCCACAAATCCATGGGCCCAGATGGAATGCACCCACGAGTGCTGAGGGAGCTGGTAGATGTCATTGCTGAGCCACTCTCCATCATCTTTGAGAGGTCCTGGAGGACAGGAGAGGTGCCCGAGGACTGGAGAAAAGCTAGTGTCACTCCAATCTTCGAAAAGGGCAAGGAGGATCCAGGGAACTAGTTCACTGAAATGCTTTTTATTTGGTGCTGCTTATTTGCAAGAAATCAGAAAACAAATTTCCTGAATACATCTGCACTTGACAGCTTTTATATTTCTACTGGCCTCTTAAGGCCGACCTTTCAGATGTAATACCCTAAGTTGTTCTTCATGCACACAAAGTGTAACTTATCAGGCACTTAGGCAATTAAAATTGCTGCCATAAACTTGCTCTTAAAGCCAGTAATGATTTGTGGAAGCATTTATGAACGCAGCATCAACCTTTATATACTCAGTAAAAATATAATTTGTTTCGGATTACATCCTGTTTAACTGCCCAGAGCCACTATCACTAGAAGGCAATTGCTGTCTTTTAATTTGGCTTTTAACTTTTCACTAACATCACAGCTTTGGTTGTGAGCAGGAGGAAACTTCATCAAGTGAGCGCAGAAAGGAGTAGCTGGTAGGAAGCTCAAAGTGTGACTCTTCTGCTCCTTGGGGCCCCGTTGAATGTTTAGATCATCCTTGTATTTATAATGTAGCTCATATTCGTGCAGCGCTTTGAAGATGTGAAGTAGAGCGAGGTTGTTGTGTCCTAATGCATAGACTTGTACTGCTTCTGGGAGTGCTTTTCCTGTTTCATTTTTGAGAAGTGTTCTTAGCTCCATCTCTGTAGACCTCCCATAGTATAACGAGCAGCATTTTCTCAAGCGTGACCTTCATCTTGAGAGTTTGCTGCAAATACCAGCTAATAACATCTCTTGTCTTCATCCTAGTGAAGACATTATCTCAGCGATGACAGTACATCTGTCATTGTAGAAGACACAAATACAACAGCCCTGGTCCTGGAAAGCTGATGAAGAAGCAGACGAGTAGTATTGGTGACAAAGTTGTAGTGCCCTCCTGAGTTCCAGGTGTGGGCTCTTAACACACAGAAGGGATCCTGCGTGTTCCCTGCACTTTTCCTCCTGCTGTATTTCAGCACTAAGATTGCCAGTTCAGTCATTACCAAAATGTCTTGGGTTTCAGATGCTGCGAAGGCTTGGATTTGCTTTGGTCCTGTTTACAGAGCATGGCAGTCTGAATGCTGTGACTCGATGTGCCTTCTGTCTGTCTGTTCCTGCTCTTCAATGGCAAATAACAACCTTTACTTTGCAGAACCAGTCAGAGTAGCATAGCGAAGTGACAGGCTGGGTCAGGAAAAGGTTAAGTAGCGCTGAGCTGCCAAGTGCTAATAACTTTCATTTCACAAAGGATTGCTGAATGTGTTTAAAGGAGTCACCAGAGTCTTGTATTTGTAGCGTTTCTGCTCCAAGGGTCCTGAAAATGACAGGTAAAAATCTGGTTTTTTATGCCATGGTTTTGTTGCACCAGCAGTAAATGCGCTTGCAGGGAGGTTGTAGCTGGGAGCTGCTGAAGTAAAACATGAAAGATATTAAAGGAGAAGAAATCCTGTTGCTTTGTAACCCTATGGCCTTTATTTAGCCCTAAATATGCTTCCGTAAGCCATGGCTAAAGTCTTTAGCTTTTCACTTCTGTCTGATGGCTGCCCAAGCTTGTTCACGGGCAAATCTTTGGGTCTGCAGGAGGAGGCATTTATTGAAATGGTGAATTTAGTCCCTTGGAAAGGTGCTGCCTTGAGAGGAGCCAATGCCTCTGGTGAACTGTTCCACTGGTACAACCGGAGAACTGCGGTGGGTGCTTTTACTTCTCTGAGCTTTGGCTGCCTCGGTGCTGGTAAACCTGCCAAGACACCTTCCTCAGCTTGGGCTTTTCTGAGGCAGCCGAGCACTGTTGGTTATTGCTGAGGGGGGCAAGGAAGGAGTCGCAATTGTTTATAGGGCTAAGGACGTGCTGCAGCAAGAGACCACAGCTGAAGGGTAAGAGTTTTTAATCACCAAGAGCTTTTGTCTAGATGTGAACCAGTAATCTTCCTAGTGAGAGACAGCTCAGCCGGTTCCTTGGGTCAGACAGTTCTGCCATAATTCATGGGGTTTTTGTTTTCTGCAGTAAAATAAATAGATGTATGGGTTGGGGTTTTTTCCTGCTTTATATCTTGTCCCTTTCTGTTGCGTTTATTATGCTTATTCTAAGCAGACAGCTTATTTTTGATTTATTCATACCAAGCACATGTTCATACTGAGCTGCTAGCAAAAGTGCATGATGCAGACAGTTACAAAGGTGATGTGCTGCTTTGAAGGAATTTGGAATCTTTACTATATAAAGCCAGTGGATATTAGATGCCAATACGTGCACTGCCTAAATTAAACCGGATCAAAAATCCAAGAGTTTTCATGAATGCATGCAGTCCTTGTTTTCGTATCTATTCTGGATGCCGTGAAACAAGTAACTGTAAATATATAGGCTGTTCTTCTAGAATCACTAAGTTGTGATCCTGTGCCTCTTCAGGAGTCTGTGCAATCCGTGGCGCAATGTGCTGAAAGTTACAAAATACACCTGGCCCTGTATTCTGAAGCTCACTCGCTTGTTCACAGAAGAAATGCCACAGCTGATTGTGCCTGGGATAAGGGCTACCTTGGGATCGCTAGCGGTGATTTGGTGGGAGTGTTTGTGCAGCCTCACCTAGTACAGCTGCAGAAGGAATTGCAACCTTGAGCTCCGTTGTTGTATGTGAGGGGTAGCACACTCTTATCTAGCCTGGGACAATATTGGAGTCATTTTTTTATGCAATTTAAACTCCATATTTTCTTTTTGAAAGTACTGTGATAAACCATGTTCATGAATTCAAGGAACATTTTCTTCCCTAGGAGGTAAAATACAATGGTACAAATTCTGCAAGGTGAGCCTTTCTTGATTTCCCAGCTTGCTCCCCATAACAAGTGTTGTTTTCTGCCCTCTGCAGACTATTGGATACTGATGGACGTTTCCGACAGCCCTGAGCGAAACCCCTGCTCTCCTGACGAGGAGGACCAGCAGCTTTCCGATGACGAAGTCCTGAAGGAGAGCGCTTCAGACCGCGAACTTGATGGAGAGGGTGGGCAAGGTAGTGTCATGGGAGAGGAAGAGGAGGATGCAGCCAGGGGACTGAGTCATGGTGAAGAGGAGAACCACTCGGGTGAAGAGGACCCCCTAAGTGAAACCAAGTCTCAGGAGTCTGACAATAACAAGCAGAGTGGAGAGCTGAAGAGCCGTCTGCCTCACAAAGGAGAGGAGGGAGACCGGACAAATGACCTTGGTGATGAAGCGTCCTCTGTCACCTGTGAACTAGATGAGCATGAGTTGGACTATGATGAGGAAGTTCCCGAGGAACCAAGTGCTGCTGCTGCAGAGGAGGATGGTGAGAAAGCTGCTGGTGAGGATGATGAGGAAGAGGAGAAAGGAGATGATGCCCATGAAGATGAGAAAAAATCCAGCAGTAAAAGTGACGATGAAAAGGATGGCCAGGATTCCCTCAAGGAGAAGAAAGAAGAAGACGATGGAGAAATTGATGATGGAGAAATTGATATAAGTAGGAGCTAGTCCGAGGTGGGCAGAGTCCTGCAGGGAGAGACCTGTCCTCCTGTTTCAGAACTGTTTGGCTCTTACACTGACGTGCCTTCTTAATTCTTTGACCCAAATATCTGTGTTAGCTGTGTCTCCAGTGTGCAAGTAACACACTTTTTCTTTGGAGGTAAGACCATACTATGTACCAAGTCCTAAACTCAATGGCTCGTAAGATGAGTACCACATACTATAGAAAACCTTTATGCCAGGTATTGTCAGAGCCATCAGAAATAAGCTTTGTTCCCACTGGCTCCAGTGCTTTAAGAAACTGATCTGCGTCAGCCCTTGGAGGACTTTTGAATGATGCCGACACCAAATTACTTAGCTGTGGATTAGACGTTCATAAGATGTCTCATCAGTTTGGGTTGAAGGGCTGGTGCTGCAGAGTGGCTGCCATGTGCTTAAGTCATCAAGCGTGGGTGGGAAGCCCGTGGCCCTTAGCTGTCTGTCAGGCTGTAGCGGCCTCTGGGCGTGTGGAAGAGGAAAGGAGCGTGCTGGGCTTTGTGGAAAGAACCTAACCGGGCAGCCCCGGCGCATGGTTTGGGTGATGTGTTCAGGGATGTGCAGCTGAGTAGCTGCTGTTTCATAGCTGAGAACAAACGCAGCCATTTAAAAACATTGAAAACTGGGTTTAATTGCATTGGTAATTAGGGCAAATAGCACTCTTTATCCATGTTTGCCTTTAGGTAGGAAGCACTGTGGTACAACCGTTGTGTTTAATACTAGTTTCCCTGTTGCAGGCAGAAGAAAACAGGACAAAGTGGTTCTAGCAGTAGAGTAGAAACCCTCCTGTGTGTTCCTGGTTTGGTGGACACTTTACTCAGATCTGAACAGTGGGAGTGCAAAGTACTACAAAGAGAAGCTGCTGGTCCAGAGCACCTGCCTGGCTCTGCTCCTGGCTGGCCGTGCCAAAAGTGCTCCTGCGCAGCTAGACTAGGTTGGGGCAGTGTTGGGAGAACAGACCGGGCTGCATCAAAAGCAGCGTGGCCAGTGGTGCAAGGGAAGTGATTCTGCCACTCTGCTCTGCTCTGGTGAGTCCTAACCTAAATACTGCGTCCAGCTCTGGAGCCCCCAGCACAAGAAGGACGTGGAGCTGTTGGAGCGGAGCTAGAGGAGGCCACAAAAATGATGTGAGGGCTGGAGCACCGCTGCTGTGAGGAAAGGCTGAGAGTTGGGGCTGTTCAGCCTGGAGAAGAGAAGGCTCTGGGGGGACCTTGTGGCAGCCTTTTGGTACTGAAAGGGGGCCTGTAGGGAAGATGAGAAAAATCTTTTTAGCAAGGCCTGTTGTGATAGGACAAGGAGTAACGGCTTTAAACTAAGGGAGGGGAGATTTAGACTGGATATAAGGAAGAAATTTTTTACAGTGTCTCTCCAGCCTGTGGAGTCGGCTGGAGAGAAAAACTTTGATGTACTCGATGCCTCACCAGAGAGCTCTTTGCTTTGAACGCACGGTGATGCTTTCTTTGCTGCCAGGTTATATTTATTGTTTTCTGTAGAAGGTAGAGCTCCAGATTTGAAGTGTTTGTCATTAAAAGGACTTTAATAGGAGTTCATAGGATTATTACTGCATATGCTTAATGGTGCGTATTCATCCATCCCTCCCTCCTCACCCCTAGAATAAGGTTCTTGTGCTTTCACCCATCTGTGACTGGATCTGTTTGTCCTCTCTGGGAAGGTGAGGGATGGCAAGCGTCCTTCCCTGTGTATGAGAACAGGTAAATCTCAAGAAAGTTGGAGAGAAGGAAAGTCTCATGTCTGAAAGAGCATTATTCCTTGATGGCTTTTAAATGGTTGTGGGGCTGAATAAATGCTTGCTGTAGGCATACGGGGTCTAACAGAACTGTATTTCCACAGATTACTGCGCTTGTCAATCTATTCATCACGGTGGGAATGACAAAGGAAACTACTCCAAGTCTGAGCCGTACTCCCCGAATGGAGCTCCTCCTATCGGCCCTCACCCCCTGATGCCAGCCAACCCTTGCGTATGGACATCTTTTCTGGGAATTTATGGCTTCTTCACATAGCTTTTGTCTCCCGATGTAGGAGAAGTGAAGATTTTATTTGAGCTACAGATAGTTAAATCTTAATTACTGTACAGAACGCACTCTTAGTGCAGGGGTAGGAGGATGTTCTGTTTCAGCGTGATGAAGGCAAGAGAATGTCTGGGGTGGGAAGGTGGTTCCTCTTCATGTGCCCTGGCTGCTCCTCTGCATACCAGGCTGCTGTGCAACGCTTACGGCCGCATCTGCATCTGTTCTTGGGGATGCTGGAGAGGGAGGGAGTTTCCAGGCTATAACCCGACCGAGGAGCGGTTCGCTTGTTAGCTACTGGGACAGTGGAAAGGATTAGATTTGGACAAGTGTGCTTTGTGTACAGACAGAGGCTCTGGCATGACTCTCCACCACTGGTGGAGTTGCACGTTGGTTGAGTCAGACGAGGAAAGCATCCAGCCAGTTGCTAAAATCCCAGATGCAGCTGGTTGGTCTTGCCTGCTGTAAGGTGTGGAGCTCCATGAAAGTAAGGCTGTGAGCCGTTGCCCTCCACTTCCTTTTGCGGTCGTGCAAACTCTTTTCCTCCAAGAGGAGTCGCAAAAATGATGAGTCCTGTGGGGAGCTTTTCACTGGTATTTGTCACATCCTTTAACAAGTGGCTTTCCTTGTGCTGTAAGACCTGGCTGGTCTACAGAAGCAGTGCATAAAGAGAAGCCTGTCCTCACTATTGTTAAGCACGAGACACCATCAGTTATTTTCATGGTGCTTGCTTGTGAAGTTAATTAGCTTGTTATAAACATGATTAGCAATGAGAGTAAATACTTGTGAACAGCAATACGTTTATTTAATAAGCCAAATTAATCTTTGACTGTTGGCTTTGAAAATTACAGCTGTGATGAATATGATGCGGTGTTTTGTTCCTCTCCACTTGGTGCCTGTTCAGCAAACAGTGATGGCCAGCAAGCTCCGGGGTGTTGATCTCAGTACTTTGCTCTAACATGGGAGGGTGTGTGTGATTGCTTGTGGTCCAGGACTGTGAAACCCACCTGCCCGCTTTTTTAGGAAATGCTACGACAGTGTCACGATGAGTTCTCTTTTCTTTTTAAAGGAAAGAGAGCGAGAACGAGAAAGGGAACGAGAGCGTGACAAGGAACACCAGCAGCGGAAGGAAGAGTGGGAATGTGAGAGAGAACAAGTGAAGAGAGATGAAAATGACAGGCAGCACAGGCATCGGGACAGGGACCGAGACCGGGACAGGGACAAGGAACATGAAAAGGAGAAAGAACAAGCAAAGTCCTGTTCCCCTCTGCTACCAAGGTAAGCGTTTGCTGGAATTCAGGCTTGACATTTTACTTGGCATTGTTTTAGCTGCGGATCGTGAACTAGGCCCACGCTGGTCGGGGTGGAGAAGATCTCTGTTGTCCTCAACTCTTTGAGTAGAGCGGTAGCTTCAAGAGGAGAGCAACGCTTTAAATGAGTCTTGCTGTCCACTAAGTGGAGCTAAAACATCGGCCAACACCAAGCACTCATCACCTGGCTCTGGAAGGAGCAGAGCCTCTGGCCTGTAGGTATGGAGATGTTCAGCTTGTCCTCTTCACCTGAGGCTGGACGACGCCTTGGGAGGTTGGCAGAGTCCCCAGTGCTGAAAGAGTCCTGCGGTTGGTGGCGACTCCCTTTGAAGCCTGGACAAATGTCCTTTGAGAAGAACCAGGGCCCGTTTGGGAGTTTGTGCATAGCAAAAGTATCTGGAGATTTATTAAGTAAAACTCCTAGAAGAGGCTAGAAAACGTAAAGGCATTGTGTGCCTAGAAATGAGTCCCTGCTAGGTTTTAACAGTGCAATTGCAGTGTTGAGTCAGTTTTTTTGCCTCTGCTGATTTTTTTCTTTTTTTTTTCCCCTAAAAATGCTGGTTCTGACCTGTGTAAAAGAGAAAATTGAACCAGACAGACTAAAAGTCTAGGAATTTCAAAAGCGAATCCTATTTTGTTACTCCATCAATTACTGAAGTACCATGGCTGACCAGCATACTGCGTATTAGGCATATTTGTAAAGCACTGTCTAAACATCACAGCTGAATGTAGAACTTATGGGAATTTCTAATGTCACAACGTCTTTTGGTTCAGAATCTGAGAAAAATATCAAATTGCTTGCTGAAGGATGTCTCCAGGAAAGCTGATTAGCAGTTTCAGTGTCTTGGAAACTAGTGGCAGACAGAGTCTTCTGACAGCGTGTCGAGGAACGTGGGGACGCATGAGCAGATGTATGTGCCTGTTGGGGCAAAGAGGGGTGCAGAGAGGCTGTTTCCGAAGAGATATTGGAGCTTCTCCTTCTGCCTGATGTCTGTGTTGTTTCTCAAGCACTAGAGGAAGGTGCGAAACATCTGGAGTGTGAGGAAGAGTGTGTTTTAATGAAGAACAGGGCTAAGAAGGCGTGGAACGAGGTGCCATGTGGAATTACGTGGTTTCAGGTGGGAGCAGAGTTTAGCCTTGAATCTGACCCAGAGTTTTTATTTGCATGACTAGAAGGAAAGATGATTTTTGATGATGGCCCAGTTTTCCAAGAAGTCATCATTGTTTCATAACAGTTTGAAGGTGTCTTGTGAGTGCTGTGGTGCGGGAGCAGTGTCAATAGGAATACATTTGATTATGGGCTACATTTAATTATAATCTTCACTTACCACCATAATTTGTGCACCTTAATTACCACATTTGCTGTTGGTTTGTGCTCTCGTTGGGTTAGTGATGGAAGAGATCTTGCTGTCCAGAACCATGTAATGATGATGACGGTGATGAAAGCGACCTCAGCTGGTTGGCAGCTCGGGGTGTTAGTCATAAAGAGTCACGGTGACCAGGATCACTGCGCCCAAGGCTCGGGTTGCTGGTTGCTCCTTCCCTTGGCCCTCATGCTGGCTCATGGGCAGGGCCTTGTGGGGGAGCTTTCACTATTAGTGATGCCCAGGGTTTGCTGGATAGGAGCGATGGCCGTGTTTGCCCATCTTAGATTCATCTCACCCTGTGTAACCATCTGTGTGAGAGGGGAGACAGGATTTACAGTGTACGTGACGTTACATGCTTTCTGGATACAGGTTCCCTGCTTCCCTCCCGTGCCCTGTCTCTGACATAAGCACCACTTAAGGGAGCTTTGGATGCCTCTTGGATCTCCAGAAGAGGCTTCTTAAGATGAGTCTTGGTAAATTAAAATTAGTCCTTGATACACCTCATTGCTTTTGAAGTCCGCTGCTCTTTCTAGAAGCGTATTGTAGAGAATCTGCTGTTGGAAGTGTCCTCAGCCTTGTCCTGTAACCCAAGCGCTGATGACTGTAGGGCCAGGTGGAGAGCAGGGACAGAGGGACAGCAAGCAGGGCTCGCTTTGCCTTCACTTGTGCGGGGCTCGAAAAGCTGGTGGCAAGAAGCATCTGTAATTTTTATGTTGAATAGGGAGCTAGTACTGAGTGAAAAGCTTTAAAATCTAAAAAAAAAAAAAGTCGTCGATCAGCACCCACACTCAGTATCCCCTCTTAGAGTAGAGTGGAATTGATAGGAGCTCTCGCCAGTAAACCCAAAAGCCCAACGTTGTTGAAGGCAGCTGTCCAAGGGCTCTGAATGGGGCTTCAGTTCCGGCTGTTGAAGCCTGTGTCAACATGAATGCTCTTACTACAGCATTTACAGGTGTATGGATGTTTGCAGAGAAAACAAAACTGCAGAAAAAGCTTTTTAACAAAGTGAAAGTGTAATTCAACTTCTTTTCCTTTGGAGAAGACATCCCTCATCCGGCAGTTTGCATTTCCCTACGCTGCCTTCCCCGCAGGTCTCTGTCACGCTCTGGGCAGTCATGTTTTGTCCCACGTAACCTTTTTGACAGGCTCCAGACTTCCTTGTGGCAGTGCAGCGGTTCGAGCCGTCTCACCTTTTCCCCAAGTACCTTCGTGCCGTGCTGCAGAGGGTCAGGTTTGGCACCTTGGGATTAAACCGCTCCCGAGTTTGTTTAATGTGTAAAACACTCGTGATTGCCACGCGTTTCCCGGGCAGCAGGATGCATGATAGTGAGGTAGCACTCACCTGTGTGGCTGTTTATAGACTGGGCTTTCCCTAATTGCTAGATCCCAGCTTTTGGCAAGTCGGCCTTTCCAGGAGTCGTGCAATGATGGGTGCCGGTGCGTGCCGGGCTGCAGGCAGCTTCCCGTTAACATTCCTGCACCAAAGACAGCACCAGAGCCCACGCAGCCCTGCACTTCCCTTACTAATGACCTGGGGAGGTTGGAAAACTGCTGCACAGGGGTTGTGCGACCTGCGAGGAGCTTTGCCAGAGGCAGAGCTGAGGATGTCTGTAATTACAGAGAGATGCCGGTCTGTCCATCTGCGTACGAGCTCCCTTAAGTAGAGGCTGGAGGAGGGAATGAATTATGATATACAGAGTGCAGAGTCAAAAGGGATGAAATAAAACTCAAAAAGCTAATAGCCAGGGACATGAAAACAAACTCCTTTTCCATTATATTGAAAGCAGGAAGGTTTAATCTGATTTCTAAACAGTGGAGCACTTAAGGCTAATAGCGTAGGGAAACCAGAGGACTTCCTGGCACACTGGTTGCTGCAGTTGAGCAGGGTTAGAATTTAGCAGCAAACAAAGATTGTAAACCCTAAGGGACTCAGTGGCAAGCATTTCTTCTTGAGCCTTTTAAAAGAAGACGCTGGAGTATTTGGGCTTGAAGTAGGGTTGTTGCATGTGGGTTGGACTTTTTTCGAAGCAGTGTGCAATTGCCACTTCATGCTTTGGGTTTGTTTTTTTTCCCCCAAGCTTAAGATGAGCACTCCAAGAAGTTTATAATCTGAGATTGTAAAATAGTTCCTCCCCCTCCTCCTCCTCCCTCTTCAGGCATCGAACACTTCAACAAGGCAGGACTCTTTATGATCAATCAGAGGGATAACTTGGCTGGCTGTCCTTGCGCTCCCCATCTCCAGAACGAGTTCTGGTGCCCCAGGCTGTGACTGATTTTGCTGAGTGCAAAATTTCTGCTTTACGTTTCTGTCTTGCCAGTGTAGCTCACTGCTGTACAAATCATTTCAGGGATAAAGAAGTGGCATGAAATATGTTATCTGAAGGAACTTGGAGCAGTGCAAGACGTTCTTACCTTTCGCTGTGAGCAAAAGCCCTACACACGGAATTAGTAATTTGCTTTAATCCTTCTGTTGGTGTACTGGTCTTTATCCCACCATCAACCAAGCAAACCCGATTGTTTCAGGAGCACGTTAAGCAATGCAGTTAGTGTCATGGGAGCTGTTAGCGGTTGTATTTGCAAAGCACTGAGGGACACCGAGGAGTTGGACCCACTGGCAAGGGCAGCAGGCTCAGTATCACCGCCCCTTTGGCTGGGGTGGCACTAGGTGTTGCCCACCAAGCGGCGACAAAGAAGAGGAAGCAATCCTGACCTCAAGTCTGACCTTAAAGTTATTTCCTTGCAGACAAGTTTGGTCTGAGCCCATGATACGGACCCTAGAATGAGTGGGGTGCTGGTGCCAAGTGGGGTGAGGAGGAGGTGGTGGCTGTTGTCCTCGGACATGTCCCAGAGTCTGGGCAGGAGGTGACAGCAGCTCCAAAGCTGCCGAGAAGGAGCAGTGTCCCAGTGAACCGTCTTGTGATTATGGCACATACAACAGTTTTTTGGAAGGAAGTTTTCTTCAGCTGGGCTAAAGACTTATTGATGGAGTGCACTTACGCAGCCATTAAAAAATAAAAATAGCACCTGCAAATAAGGACACTTTAAATTTTAAAGCAATGTCAGAAAGGGCAGCTGTTCTGTTGCAAATCATAAATCCTTGGTGAAACCCTTCCAGCAAGGAGAGTTGTGCTTCTTTCTAGCTTCTGTTGAGCTGGCACTAGCCCTCAATTTTGAATTGCTGTATAATGCTGCAGACCCTGGGACAAAAGGTTACAAGTTCCCTTGGCAAAGCTCACCCTTGAGTTATTCTTCCAAGCTCATTCAAGTTGTCTTCGCAATAGGTCATTGTTAATCTCTAGGGTGAGCACATTAAGAAACAGAATAACCTGGAGTCCAAAATCAATAAATGTAGGTTATCCAGGGCTTGCAAGTTAGAAAGTGTTGGAGTGAGGTTGATTAGATAAAGGAGTGGCAAAAGTACGAGAATGCAAATGGAGTGATTCATGAGCGTGTGTGTGTCTATGTGTGTGATCACAAACCGACTGAACTAGTTTTTTTGAAGAATCTGTAATTCTCAGTATTCCTGGGTTGTCATTTATCTTTCCCAACAGCTTCTGGTGATCTCCCCATGCCACCAGCTGGATCTGCTCCCTATTTTTTG